ACAGCGCGTCGAGAGTTTTTTGGGTTACGGTAGCACATCTGAGTGTGATGTTCGAGAATTCGTTCGATGATAGAGAACGTTCAGAAACGACACTTTACCAAAAACTGTTTCTTAAAACCACACCCCCTATTCTCTTCCTTCTACCATATCGTCATCTGAGACATCCAGAGACGCTCAGCAAGAAACTTCCAAGTTTGTCTAGATCGCCTCGCTCCCACCGAAATCTTCCCCAGATAACATCTCTCAATTCGTTCCAGAAGAACGCCTACGACATTTCATACACACACAGACTCACACGACTACCGTATACCCTCATTCTCGGATACCCGCGCTTGGAAATCTGCACACGCCAATTTCCTGTCTCGCGTGCAGTTATTAGCGAATCGTCACGTAACGACTTCCCGGCGACACAAAAACGCAATTACAGTAACCCCTTCGCGACGAATGAGTGTGTACTCATTGCACACCCTCTAAAGAGCGAATAAGTCGGGTTCCGAATTGTGTTCTCGGGCTTAGAGAGAGTGAGGCAAATGCGAGAGTTGTCAATCATATATAGGTGCAGCCGCGATGTGAATGACATCGTCAGCGTAAATATAGCGTAATGTGGAAATAGAGCGCGGTTTATCCCAGGTATGAGGGCATCTGATTACGAACTTACCGTGAGGTTTTGGAACAACCAAGCGCGGAACTTTGTGATCGCTTCTTTCGAAAAGACTTTCGGCACTTTGCGCTTGTGGCCATTTATGGATCCGTTCTGGCCGTCGCTCAGCACGCTTTCACGACCATCTTCGTTCGAGCCACACAACGACAAGAGCTCGTCTCCTATAAACTCACCTTTGAGTGGGGTGCATTGGGTGGAGTCCCGCACCGATCCGCTTGCTGCGCTTGGAAGAATAGAGCTCAGAAGAGATAAGAGAAGAGTAAGAGAGCTCCGAATGAGTGACGAACATAACACTGACATGGAACTTACCACTCATACATTTAGAGTTTAGCAAAACCAAAAAGTGCAGCACACAAAAAAAGAACATAAATGAAACCACGTCAATCGCAGAGCCGAGCGCGTGTCGAGTGCAGCGAAATTAGAAATACAAAAGCGTGAGTAAAAGCAGAGAGCGAATTACCGTTAGATGCTGGAAAAGCCAAGCACGCAGAATGTTGGTGGCCGGCTTCGGGAAGATGCCGCGCTTCT